AAAGTTGGGAAGCCTAAATCGGTGTCAGAGCATCCAACGCTTTACTACATTGCTGGAAGTTTGCCGTTATAATTTTACCATCAGACTAAGGTTTTTTAAGGAAACAATAAGGGTGTGGGTGTGGGTGTGGGTCTGGGTGGGGGGTTGGGTGTGTGGGTGTGGGTGGGGTGTGGGTGCGGGCTGGGATATAATTAGAAACACGCTCCCACACCCACACCCACACCCACACACCCACACCACACACCCCACACCCATACCCACACCCACCCACACCCACACCACACCCAACAGCCTACACACACACCCACACCCAACAGCCTACACGCACACCCGCACTCATCCACACCCACACCCACACCATCCACACACACATCCAGCCACCCCACACCCACACCCTCATGTTTAATTCTTTTAGCAAAAGATTGTATAGGTTTTAGAAAATTCTCAAGTATTACTCATCAAAGAATGGCACATCAAGAAGGTAATGGTCTCTAAAGTGCAACACATTTTCTTGATTAACAAAAAAAATTTCAATATGTTTTCTGTTCACAATCGATTAACATGTCAAATTTGCAGTTATATTGAGTTCATACGGCTAGATAAACTTCAATTTCATTGACCATGAAATTAACTGAGTTAGTAAATAATTTCGTTTTATCCATGTCAATCTCGGTACATGGAATTGCATTGGCTGTTTCTAGTTCTGACTCGAATTCGCCAGTTCCCCGCTGGAATCCGTTTGATAGAAGATCAACGTTTGAACACGCCTCGAATTGTGAATCCTCAAGATACTTCATGGAAATCGACGGAGGAAAGTTAAATGTCGAATGTGCATTTTTATCTGGATCTGGTCGAATGATAATATGACCTATATAGTTCGAAACATACATCATTGGACTTGTAGGTCGTTGAAATTCCTGGAACATATGAATTTGTCCTCCTTCCTCGACTATCATTGGTCGTATTTGATGTGGATTTGTTAATGTAAATAAAAATTCTCTTCGATTGTATTTAACCTCATCAACATGATCAACCGGCCATCGATAATATATCTCATTTTTAAATCCTCCAAATAAATAACCAGGACCAGAATTTGATTTTGACTGTATAATAAACATCATTGAACCGTCTCTGTCACAACGGCAGTTAAATTCTTTCTTCGTAAATCCATCTCTTGTTCCTTTGTAGATTAATCGCCATTGTTGAGTTTTTCTCCCATAAAACTCATTTAGTTTTAGTTGATGTAAAAAAGAGAGAAGTGTTCCACCGTTGAAATAACAATCATCAAGTAGATTAATCCTGAACAAATGACGATCAATACTGAGTGGCTTTAATTGAACAACATTTGCACCATCTTTCATTTCCATCAAATTTGTTTGTGCTTTCCTTAAGTGATGTTCAATTGTCTTCAAAGGATTGTAGCTTACTTCATTATCTTGCAGTAAAGCATTTGTTTCTTCTTTTAATTTCTCAGCTGTTTGACAAAGATAGTTCCTTCCATTAACAAGTGCTTGATCAATTTCCATTTTTTTCTCTTCATAAAAAGTATTTAGTCGTTCAATACCTTGTTTATGCCATCCGGTTAATTTCTCCAAAGTGTGTTTTTTCAATGAAGCAAGATCCAACTGTTTTATTTCTTCATCCAACTGAATAATTTGAGAAGTTAATTCATACAATTCTTCTGTGAGTGATTGAGCATGTTCATTGAAATGGAAACGACATACATGTTTATTACAATGATCACAGGTTGTAGCAGATGAACGTTGACACCCCTTAGCTTGACATGGTGTTGATGTCAGTATCGGTTGCGAGCACATCACAGTAGCATTAGGATTTGCTCCCGCCATTATAGATGACTGATTTTGCTCAATCGGAAGAAAATCGTGAACATTTTTTCCCACTGAATTTGACAAATGATCAGAATCAACACATCTGCATAGATCCGTTATCAGTGATATTTGTCAAACGAAAATATTTTTTTCTATTGACAAAAGAACAGAATAAGTAAAAAAAAGAAGAAAAAAGTTATGTGTAAAGCATATTTTTGAGATTTCTATATACACGAATCAAAGACAGATTAATAAAAGATATCCAATTGCTTCATAAACCGAAAAATTCTATCTCTTTTAATAGTATTTTATACAGCGATATTTGCGCTATTTAAATATATCCAAGAAAGAATTTTCTTATCATAATTGTGATGTTTGAGATCAAAAATACAATTCGCAAGACTTTTGTTGTTAGTAGACAGAACTCTAATCTGACGTGAATTGTTCTGATGATTTTTGTGATTTTATTTATTCTGGTGGTTGAATTGAACAATCGTTCTGATGAAAATAACAACGTATTTAAACAATTTCGTCAAAAATAAAGCTGATATCCGTTTCTAGACTTGCGTTGATTCTAAAAATGCTTGGGCTGGATAGAGAGTTAAATTCTCTGTCGAATGGTGATATTTCTGAGAGAGGTCATCGGCCAAAAATTGGGTTTTGATCTAAAGTACTTGATTTTTATCAGGATATTCTACTAATATATCCTGTTAATATTCGTTCTGAGACTTGGGCTAACTCTTGAGGGTGAGTGTATAAGGACCTCAAGTGTACTCTTCCACCCGGACCTTTAAGTCTTGTTTCTCTAATGGTGCTCCTTAAAAATACCACCATTCGATAGAGAATTTTATTCTGTATTCAGCCCAACCATGTCTAGAGTCAGCTCAAGTCTCAGAACGAATATTAACAGGATATATTAGTAGAATATCCTGATAAAAATCAAGTACTTTAGATCAAAACCCAATTTTTGGCCGATGACCTCTCTCAGAAATATCACCATTTGACAGAGAATTTAATTCTCTTATATCCAGCCCAAACACTTTTAAAGTCAGCCCAAGTCTAGACACAGATATCCGCAAAAAATATTTGAATCTGCTGCTGACTTTTCTTGAGGGGTGAGTAATAAGCATACCGTGATCGCGATTTCGACCTTGCTAAAAGGTCTCATCAGACGGTTTTAAATTGTAATGTAAAAGATTCTGTTCTAATGATCGCGAAGATCAGAAACAAGATACCCATACATGCAAGCAACTAACCTATACATTCATGGAGGGAAAACAATAGGCACCGACTGAGAGTTCTCGGGAATCGTGATTCCACATGAAAAACTGATTACTTAGTGGATAAACTTGGTCAGTCAAATTTTGATTCAGTTTCACTGTTGATTTTAACGCATTGCACGAAAGAAACATAAATCAAAAAGCCAAATTATGTTAGCAAAGACAAGAGAGTCTCAAAGTTCCAAATTAGTAACCGAAATTCTCCGAGTATTAGTTTTAACCGCTTTTAATGGTGTTTGGTACGAAACGTGTTTTTCTTACGTTGTAAATTAGAAAGTCACGCTTTTGTTCTTTTTTTCGGACTTCTCTACTAAACAAATATGTAAGTATAACACTAAATCAAATTTTGAAGTTCATTACATGCTTCGAGATACGATACCAATTGATACTAAGTCACATAAGCAAAATGTCGATACATTAGGTTAGAATCGGTTATTTTATCAGCCAAAATCGAGCCAAATAATTGTGTTTTTAATCCAATTCAAATCTGGTTTTTAAGCTTTAAAGATAAATTTACTGTGTTTTTAACCGATTTTAAAATGCAGTTTTAATTAGTCAGCCTTTATAAATCCTTTACGAGTCAGCTAAGAAAACTGCACCGAGTTAGGCTAGGCCGGGCCAAGCAGACACAAACAACTTTAGACCGCGATACAGACAAGAGCATAAAAAATAACCCAACTTCGAGGTCTGGTAGGAAGCTACGAAGATTTCGTATGAAATTTATATTTTCTAATGTAGAAGATATTTCAGAGTATATAATCATCCTTCTACGGAGTACACTATATAACAATGTCAAAGAAATTTGCTTATATCAATGTGTTGCAAAAGTCATCACATGGGCGCCAACGCTTGTCGATTTAGCGTTACCTCACCTGTTTGTTGACTTTGTGTTATTTCTTTTTGTAAGTAAGAAAAAACCCATCGACGACAGGCAACAATGTGTGTCATTCTCCACTTTCTTATCAAATATTTACTATACAAGTGAGAACCTCTATTCAAGTATGCTATATGCAAATATATCGACTTTCCGCGTAAAAAAGAACAAAAACATATGCGTCAATCAACTTTTTTCTTTCTCTGAGGCTAACTCCTGCGACACAAACGATATACTGTATCGTAACCAAAGAATAAAACAAGGGTTTATGATGTTTTGTCGAGTCTTTTTGAATACATAAAATATGCATTGTAGACTTCTTCATCGATTGGTGATGGAACAGTATAGAAATGAAACTTTTGAAAAGTTAATCTCTCGAAACTATGTAAATCTTTGTGAAGAGCACAGATGGGTACCATACTTACGAGGGGAAATCTCCAACTCATTCATGCGATTTTGTTGGTACTTTGCTCACATGTGGGATCCCATGAGACTAGAAAAAGCTTAAAAGGAGAACAGTTTATAGGCCTTCCTTCTCGAGCTATGGTCATTTTACTACGTTTATCACCTATATGGGAAGGGATTGAGTGAAAAATCAAATTACTGAATTTCCATCTGGAATTTTGTGTACATGCACATCTTATGGTCTGTATATTAATCTAAAAGTTTTAGCCGAAACAAATGTTTCCTCTCGAAATATTGCCTCATCAAGAAAATATTACCATGCTACAAATATGTCAAGAAAATCGACTTTTATGGAAAAACCAATATTTCATGAAAGAAACATTGGTTTTGACTGCAACTTTTAGCCTGATATACAGGTCATAAGACCTACATGTCTACGAAAGCTGATTTGTCACTAAACTCCTTCTCATAGGTGGTAAACCAGGTAGAATAATTATACCTTGAGAAGAAAAGCTTATGCGCCGTTATTCATTTAGGCTTTTCTAAGCTTCATCGAATCCTATATATGGATAAGATATCAAAAAAAAGCTTAAATCAGTTAAAGACACGCCCTCGTAAGAAATATCTTATAATCTCTTTTATTTACTAGCAACCTCCAGCAGAAAAATGAAAATCTCGCAAAAAAAATGATCCGTTTTGGCAAAAAAAATGACTTAGCAAGCTGTTATAATTATTCAGTGGATAAAGAAATACGTTAGCAATTTCTCACAACGTGTTCTCTGACTGTAAAAACCTATTTTGAAACGATTTTTCACATCAAGAACAAACTTTTCAAAGATCATTTGTTATACATCTACAATTTCGCGTTTGCGATCACATTGTCTTATTTTTTTGGATGTGGGTGTGGCTCATTTTTTTAATGCGCACTCAGATCCCACATCCACATCCACACACACACCCACACCTTCCACACACCCACACACCCACACACCCACACCCACACCCACACCCACACCCACACCCACCCACACCCACACCCACACCCACCCACACCCACACCCACCTCCACACCCACCCACACCCACACCCACACCCACACCCACCCCACACCCACACCCACACCCACACCCCACACCGACACCCTCCAAATGTCAAAAGCGAAGGATAAAATTTTATCTGAATCTTGAATTCTAACGCATATGAGGTTGCCGTATAAGTGCGGCAAAAAAGCAAAACATAAAATTTTCTCTCAAGTATGAGTTGGGTGTGAGTATGTATAGGTGGGTGAGTGTGGGTGTGAGTGTGAATGAAAAGATCTTTTCTTTATCCACACCCACACCCACCCACACCCACACCCCACACCCACCCACACCCACACCCACACCCCACACCCACCCACACCCACACTCCACACCCCACACCCACCCACACCCACACCCCACACCCACCCACACCCACACCCCACACCCACCCACACCCACACCCTACACCCACACATCCACATCCTCGCACTCACTCTCATCTTCATCCTCACACTCACTCTCATGCTTACCCTCAAACCCTTAGTAATCATCTGACTTCATAACCAACTGAGTTGATAATCATCTGACTTTGTAATCAGCTGGCTGGGTAACCATCTGAGTTGGTAACCAACTCACTGGGCAATCATCTTATATCCCTAGCGAAAATCCTTGATGTTTCAGCGCCAGATCCTTGACAGATATACTCAGGATTCTGCAAGGATTCGCTGTTTTTTCCTGAGGAAACGACTAAATCCTGAAAGAAGTGTGTAGCCAGGGAATTGTAGGATCCTGGCAGGATTCCAATCAAGCTTTCCAAGGATCCTGACAAGTTTACCATTGTTTTTGAATCAGGATTGAGCTAGAAAATCAGTGATTCCTGAAAGAAGTGTGTAGCCACGGTTTTTAAGGATCCTGTCAGGATTCAAAACAAGATTATCCAGGATCTTGACAAGTTTATCATTGTTTTTAAACCGAGATTTAGTCAGGAAACCGATGATTCCTGAAAGAAATGTGTAGCCACGAATTTTTACGGTCCTGACAGGATTCAAACCAGGATTTCCTAGGATCCTGACAAGTTTGCCATTGTTTTTCAAATCAAGATTGAGTCAGGAAATCGATGATTCCTGAAAGAAATGTGTAGCCACGGAATTGTAGGATCCTTTCCGGATTTCAATAATTCAAAATTGAAAAAAAAATGATTTCTGATCACATCTTCCAGGCTTTGACTAGGTTTCATATAATCGAATTCCTTGACAGAATCTTTGTAGGATTGAACTGGGTTTCCTCGAAGATATAATCGACTTTCTTGACAGGATCTTTGTAGGATTGAAGTAGGTTTCCTTCAGGATGTTGTCAGTTTCTTGGCAGAATCTTTGCAGGATTTTCTAAATAGAATATAAATGAAATGAACACATAGAGTATCGATCTCTAGACCTTTAGTTTACATACCGATCAGCTTACCCAGCTGGATGCGTCATGTCATTCTATATCACTTCAATGTTCAATATCTTCATTTCTCACTTTAATGTAAAGTTCTATTTGAATTTTATGTAGATAGAAATTATTTCAACAAAATTCTGAAAATGCAATATTATTTTACATATTTATTTTAGTTGGTGAAATTCTATCATTTTTAAAAATTTAAATTCGATTTAAAAGATATATTTCGAATTTTTTTTATTTTAATTTGATTTAAAAAACACATTTCGAATTTTTTCTATTTCAATGTGAATTAACAACTATATTTGGATTTTTTTTAATTTTAACTCGATCGAAAAAATATATTTAGAATTTATTTATTTCAATTTGGTTCAAAAAAATATTTGGATTTTTTTTCGAACATAATGAAAACTATAAACAGTTTTTATCAAAAGGTTTGCTACTGATTAATATTATATATTTAATGAAAAAATTTCACCATGACTAAATTCAATTTAACACCCTAATTTAATGATTTTCAATTTGATTTTCCTGATAAGATAAAAAAAGAACTCAATATTGTAGTTCGAATCTCAAAGCAACTTTTATATAAACCTTAAAGAAGTTTCGAAAATATGTTTCTGAGATTTTTAAGATTCGTTCTATTTCTTTATTAAAAGTACCAAATCAAGATCAGAATAGAAATGCTAGTAGATCATTCACCTATCAAAATTTTGTTGTGTTCCAAATAAAAACACAATAACATCTTAAAAATCCTTCTATTTATTTTTGTTGAGATTGTGCTCAACATTGGTATTGAAATTCTGTTGTGATCTGTAGATTTACAAATCTTGAATGGATCCTGATCTAAATTTAGCTAATAACATGAAGGAGCTGTTTCATGCATTCTTGCTAGATCCTTGACAGCGTCCTGAAAATTAAATTTTGAATTGTCTCTAAACACAAATCTGGAAAGATCTCAACTGAATCCTCGTATTTTCCTATCAAGACCCTGCTCATACTTATACTTTTTTTAAGGGTTCGAAGTGTCTGTTCTTGAATAGTTCCTCGCAGGATCCTGATCGAAGCTTGGCAGGATTATTCAGTTGAGAATTCTCAGTAATCTTGTTTTATTCCTGGTAAGATTCTTCTCTGATATAACATAACTCTTGACAGGATCCTCATATCAGAATCCAGAACAGACTCTGGCATCCCACCAACACCTTGTAAAAAAAGAGGAAGAAAGAGGCTCAGCTTTCTTGGAAAAAAAGAGGATTTTTAATAAGAAAGAGGAGAAAAAGAGGCATATAGTTTCGTCCGAAGAAAACTAATACTCACTGGCACAATAGTACTACAAATCCGACAAAACTCGTACGTTATCAATATAGGTTGAATATGACTTGAAAGAGTAAAAAAGAAACGAAACTTCCAATTGTTCATAGAGATTTTTGTGCAATTGCTTATATATGCATTAGAAAACGGAAAAACATTAGAAAAATAGACTATTCTGTTTGCATAGCACCTGACTATAATATTACTTTATCTGACTAAGTAGGAACACAGAAATAGAAACAATCAGAATTCATTAAATGTTTTTTTTCTGCTTTTTGTTCCTTTTTTCAGATGACTGTGCATGTGAGAAAGGATTTTTTTCATTTTTCAATTTTCGGCAATTCTTCCATGATTTTGATCATTTTTCGCAAGTCAGTTTTACCTTTCCGTTTCCTAGTGTAAATTAATACATTGGTTGCAACGGTGCCCAGACAGCAGGTTTGAGAAATCGTTTGACTCCGTGCTATCGAAAACGCTTGATTTTTTCCAGTGAAATATGGTCATCTTTCTGTGTTCTGTAGAAAACGACTTATTTGTATTGGGTAGATTGTATGATCCTCTGCTTTTTGACCAGTTGGGCATCCCTGTTTGTTGCTATCGCATTCTATCATATCCGATTTCTTCCAAGTATCATGAAACCGTAGTCAATATTAACCCATGTCAAGCAAACATGCTTGTAATCGGAGAAATACGGCGTTTCACATCGCCCAGTATTGCGATCGTATAACTCCGTGATCGTATGCGCAGAAATATGATCGTTTATGGACAAGCAAAGCTTGTCAACGGCTTTCGTTTTACTCGGTATTACTTCGTATACGATTATATTTCTCCGTGTAGGATTTAGAGACATACGATCCTCCAAAATGTGATTGTATACGGAGAAACTCGAAGGGAGAGGGATTACTTCATTTTGACGGTAAATCAATCACGTAAGGTAATCTAGCAACATACCACGGCATCTGTAATCAACCAAGTAATTTTGAAGGATCAGATATTGCCGGATACAACATGAAAACTTTTATCGGTATCTGATAAGCAGAAATCTTCAACTTATGATATCATACTATCAGAAGTTATCTTGTCGAAGAAATCCCATCGAATCTGATAGGATTCTAGGATAGACCTAGCCACTCTGGAAACTTCTTCTCATTTTGACGCACGCGTTGCGCTACGAATTAGCTATCCATTGTTAGATTCATATTACAGGCTTCCCTGGGGCTGAGAAAAGTGGTCAAGAAAAGTGAGCCGATATTATCATTTTACATGTCGGTCTTAACCAGAAAAACTTGCCCAGATTGTGAGAGAATGATGAGGTCACATTGGAAATATAATTGAGTGATTTTGCCTCCACTAGAGAGCTGTAAAAATTGGATGCCAATTAGGATATGTAACGTTGCTAAAGTTGATCACTAAAATCATATAATTTAGCCTCCTTAGCTATACACCTCGATTGATCGGCACATCAGCTTGTGTTGTGATTTTTTCGTATGAGATGATAACATTAATCAATATATTCATGGATGTTTTCGCCAACAAGCTACTTTTTCGTGAGAAAAGAGGAAAAAGAGGATGTTTCTGAAAAAAGAGGCTAAAAAGAGGAATTTTAAAAGAAAAGAGGAAAAGGAGGAAAAAGAGGCGGAGTGAGATGCCAGAGAACAAATCTTGATTCAAATCTAATGAAATCTTGACAAAATCCTCCTTATGACTTTAATCAGGTTCCTGAATAGGATCGAAAGTGAATCCTGATAGGATCCTGCATTATCGATACAAAAAAAAATCCGAGCAAGAATTTGAACCAATTCTGGATAGAATCCTGAATCAAACCTGACAGGATCTTTAAGATTTATGATTCTTAAAGATCCTTCAAGTTTGTCTCAAGAAATAGACACGACTGAAGAAACTAAGCAGTGTCCTGTAAAGATCTTTACTAAATCCTTATATTCTCTTATCAAGATCCTGATTAGAATTGATACTGTCTTGCAAAATGTGGAAACGCATATTCTTGAAAGATTCTGAATAAGATCCTGATTGAAACTTTGCAGGATTAGTCGGCTTCGTATTCTGATTAATCTTGTTATTTTCTTGCCAAGATCCTCCTCTGATGTGAATATCAGTCCTGACAAGATCCTAATACGAAGATTTGACCTAGACTCTGACGAAAACCTGATAAAATCTTGGCAGAATCCTCTCTCATAATCTTGAGAGAATCATTGATAGGATCTTGAGTAAATTCTGGTAGGATCTTGTATTCTCAACTCAGAAAAATATCTGAGCAGGAACCTGAAGAAATCCTGAACAGGATTCTGTTTCACCTTGAAAAATCCTGGAAACAGGAATTACCAAGATTCGAAACAGGATCCTGAATAAAACTTAATAGGATCCTTGAGATTCAGGATCCTGAAAGATCCTTCCAGGGTTTCTCAAGGAATGAGCAGGGTTGAGACTAGGGATGGTACCAATTTGAGCTAGTAGCCGTTTGACTTGGTAGCCATCTCACTTGAAGACCAAGTGACTTGGCATCGTGGACTAATTATCTAAAATATCATTGTTGTCTATAAGACCGATAGAATGCAATTTACATTCGTTGTCGGTGATAAAATTTATTCAGCGACAATGGAATCGGCGAACTTTATTTTCAGCGAAATTCACGTTCGACGAAAATATACTGAATCATTTACTATGTTTGAGAGGCAGACCTCAGCTGGATATCAGTAAATTGTTTGCAGACAGTGTTAGCATTAAGCTGTGTATAGAAGGCAAAGATTAAGTTAGACAATGCACTTGATCGTAAGTAAATAGGATTTGTTCTTTGCTGTTGGTAACGAAGAGTTGACGTCAGATGACAAATTGTCGCCGAAATACTCGATATTGACATTAGGATAAGAATGTTTTGGTTTCAGTCTCCATCCAAACTACAATAAATACACGCGCAAGTCAAAATATATCATACATCATTTTCTCTTCTCTAGTGGATTTCGAAGAACGCTGCCATGCAATATTTCTTCACCGGTTTGCTTCTGACCTGTTTTCTCAATCAGTTATCTGTCGGACTGAGTGAACAGATGACTTCATGTAAGTGAGATCCTTCCAGCTCTCATTGAGATAATTGTACCAATATTCTTTCTCTCAAAGGTCAAGGTGGACAGATGACAATGGGCTTTTGCGATTATCTTTATGGATTAAGTGAATTCCGAATTGCAGCGACCAACAACACACGTGCAAACCCTAACCCTCAGTGCATCAATAGGAACGTTGTCAAAGCTGTTTTATTCAAGTGGCCTTTTCAACAAACACCCTCACTTGTCCATGTTGGATTATCGATGATTGACACACAGTAAATTTATTGTTATAACTATTGAAACGTTCAGTGGACGAAAACTGCTATTTTTGCATGTAGAAGCCATGATCGTAATGTCCGAATACAAGTGTCGGCAGAATCGATTACTCCATATGGGTTCAATCTCCGTTTTCGATCCTGGGGCGATTCGTTGACACAAAATGCAGCTGTCAGCTGGTTCGTCTGTCCATAAATGTATGCTTGACTCTTGCATAGCAATACAATAATAATAAAACGTAATCGCTCTGCTCTTTTTCTATAAGAATAATTAAATTAAACATAAGGAATTCATGACAAAAACGGCGGTATGCAGTTAGCAAGGGAAAGTCTTTAGCTGTGTCCCGGGAACTCCAATAAAAATTATGTGGATTTGTCAAGTTAAGTGTACCTATCTCAAGTGTAAAACAATTGAGTACTGCGGCTACGTGGGTAAAAAATTATAGTCGAAGCATTTTTCAAAAAACTGACGCATATACTTTGCTATACAGTTTTTTCCTTAAGAGAGCACGCATGAGACCATCAAGAACTCGAAGCACTCGTCAAAATTTAAATTTTTGATTTGATATTCTCATCTTGTTCAACATCATATAAAACCTCTAAATCCAAATTTTTAGCACATTTCGATAAGCTGGTGAAAAGCTAGCCAGGCGCGACTTTAGGAGTACTCATGAGGTTACATGAACAATATCAGCAAAAATCATCTCTATAAAGTTGAGTTGTTTAATATGGGTATGGGTGTGGGTGTGGGTGTGGGTGTGGGGTGTGGGTGTGGGCGTGGGTGTGGGTGTGGGTGTGGGGTGTGGGTGTGAGCGTGGGTGTGGGTGTGGGTGTGGGGTGTGGGTGTGGGCGTGGGTGTGGGTGTGGGTGTGGGGTGTGGGTGTGAGCGTGGGTGTGGGTGTGGGTGTGGGGTGTGGGTGTGGGCGTGGGTGTGGGTGTGGGTGTGGG